TACTATGGCCATCAACATAGCTTATCTTTCTAAAATGCAATGCCATCAATTTAAGTTCAATTCTAAATTTTAGGTTCTTGCAACTTTGAAGGCAGCATAGCTTAGTTCCTGGAAATGAAGGTCAGTGCTTCTATACACATGCCTGACTGAGCAAAGAACTTGCATTTTTGATGATGTCCTTAACACACGGCATTTATGTCCCAAAATATAGTACATTTCTCAGAATATTTTAAAATTAGTTTCTGAGGGTTTGCTATCCCTTTAGAAGCTCTTTTTCTTGCAAATGTGTGTCCTTTGACTGCACCAGTTGTATATGGGCTCCTAACCGTATTCCTGTCTGATTTCCACCTAACTTCTGAACCCATTTGCCATTCCTACCACAAGATAGAGGTCTTCTGGAATTTCAAAGAACCAGGCAGCTAGGTGGAGGAGAGGGATTCTCCTGGGCTCCAGCTGAGGGAACGGCTGCTGGCAGGCACCAAAGCATCTCCTGATGGAGAGGCCATGGAAGTGCTCTACCTGCTGGGAAGCTCTGAACATGCACCAAAACCAACTGACCTCCAGAGCAAGCCACTTCCTCTGCTTTGGTGCTTACAAATCTGCTGGTTGGTAACCCATCTGAAAAATAACTCTGAATGCTGGGTTTTGTATCATAGGTTATGCTAATTCAAAGCATGCCTATTGTACTAACCCTTCAAGACTTCTTTTCAAGAAAGGCTATAAATCAGTTTGTTATATGCACCATGGCAGCACTGCCCATGCTAAATCCTGGCCCTTGGGATGGCATCAAGTGATAGATTTACTGATGTAATCACTGCTGTAGGCAGCCAGGCTGCATTTCAGTCTAATGAACATTCACATTAACTTCCATGTGACATTGACATAAATCTGTTTGGTTGATCCTGGAAAAGTCTACTCCAATTGTTTATCGCTTGTCAGATTATTGTTTGTTTTTTTTCTTTCAGAAATACCCCTCGCAATTTAAAATATAAAATTTCTACCATGTAGCATCTCTATCATTTACTGTGGGAAGTTTAACAAGTTGCTTGCTTTCAGTATTTTATCTCCCTAGCTGCATCTAAACCAATGTGCATTCACAAATAAAGCACCACCGGAGCCACTACTGCCATACATCTTCTAAATACCGTGTAACTCCAACCAAACCAAACAGACAGTGCCCATCAGATCAGGGCATCTGAGTGTGTGGGTATGTACCTGAAGAGAGACAGGGTAGGACTTTAAGGGTGCTGAGTAACCACAACTCTGGGTCAGTGAGCAAGGTCCCAAGACACGACAAGAATCCAAACTGGGAACTGTGAGGTTGGGTATTGTTCATTCGGATCTAAGTGCTACAAATAGCTGAGGTTGTGAAGAGATCTATAGATGGTGAAAAGAAAACTGACCTCCAAGACCAGAATGTTGTCCAGCTGACAGTTTCCTTTATTGTCAGCTCCAAAATGAAGCCTTTGCAGAACAAAAATGAAACTGAAGGATTTCCATTGTAAAGCACCACTATTGTTCCTTCTCGCTTTTCATTATTTACGATTAAAAAGGGAGAAACATTCGTATACTAACGGGAGACTGGAGTTTGAATTATATTCTGCATTGGAGTGCTTTAAGTAGTACTGGGCAGCATAAATAATCTAAATTTTCTTGACACGTTTTTAGGTCAAGAGGAATGTCACAGCATTCAAAGTCAGGACACTGCCTACTTGTCAGGTTATACTACTGTAAGAGGTGGGTTCGATTAAAATTATCTATGGACAAAAATGGATTCTCAAGACCTCTTGCCACCTTCTTTATTTATATAGGAAAACAGTTAAATGGAAAATTTAAGGAAACAATGTGTTAAGCTGGGTATATTCTCTTCATCTTTTTAGGTAAAGTGACTTCAAACTCTCTAGGAATGTCTATGGTGGAATTATGAAAACCAAATGCGCTACACTACACAGCATTGGAACTGGAACAGGCATGGAAGCCTTTAAAAATGCTGCACTTTGGAATAATTTGAAGTGTTTGTTTGTGTTCAGTGCATCTGTGACTCCAGAGATGAAGATAAGGCACTCTAGGACAGAGGGAAATTGTCCCAAAATAAATTTATGGGTTTTTTTACACAATAGATATGAACTAAAGTTGTTAAAATATTTACAAATTTTCCATCAGTTTTGACTGGCAATTGGTTTTGAACCATGTGAAATTCATGATTTATGTCATTTCAGCACAAAAGCTCAGTGACTGAATGCAACTAGTAAAACTTGATTTTACCCCTATCTAACAAAGCTTGGGTGGCATCAGTCTGTTACAGGAATTGTGGAATTGTGAAAACCAAATGCACTACACTACACAGCATTGGAACTGGAACAGGCATGGAAGTCTGGCCCATGCTGCAGCAATCAGCACTGCAGGGGATCCAGATGGAAATGACCTGGTTGTAATCCCCTTTAAATTCAAGAAGGTTGAGAGCAGACCTGTCTCCTTACTGATTGCCCCTGTACCTTCAGATCAACAGCTTTCCAAAGCAAAGCTCCGCTCAACAACCCCTGACAGCCTTTGAAAATGATGGTGGCACTGTTAACCAATGGACAGGGATGTCTTCTTGTGTCTCCCTCAGGAAGTCCCAGAGGCCTTGCATGGTCCCAGCTGATGTGGCAGCAGGAACAGCTTTGCCACTGCTGCCTGACTATGCCCTGCACAAGCCATAGTGTCCCTAAGAAACTGCCTCTACACAGCTCCCACAATTGTGAATCCAATTCCTTTATTGTCCCACATCACCACAGCTACCGCACTGCCAGGCCATTTCTTTGGCTAATAAATCCCAAAGTAAAAATGGCAGTGACGTGCCATCAAAAGAAAAGCAGTAAATCACGTGTACAAGTTTTATACAGTAGAACAGATCATTATTATTTCATCCCTTTCCTAGTCCTTAAACTTTACACAATAACCCCTTGGCAAGCGTGGCGGCATCTGAAAGCAATAAAATACTTCAGACACAACAGACATGGGAGAGAAGCAGGGAGGCAGCTCAGAAAAAGAGAAAAGCCATTCTGGTTGAACAATGCAAGCCCCGTCCAAAGCCCCAGCCAGCCACACACGCTGCCCTCTCGTTCTGCTGCCAGCAAACAGCCCTCCCCTGGCAGCCTGCCCCGCGCAGCCCCAGCTCTCTGCCTGGGACACAGCCCTCCTGCCGGTGCCACCAGGGTACCTGCTGCTCCTGCACAAGCTCCTTGTGAGCAGACAGGATTTTCTGCCTCTTGTTTCTCCCTCCTACAGCTGAGGTTGATTCCACCCAGCTGACTCTCCTTTCTCCAGCGCTGCACCACAGCCGCAAAGGTTGTGAAAAAGACCTGTCCTCTGTTCTTCTTTCTGGTCATACCAGAAGAAACTCTCTGTGTCATAATCAGTTTCACCATGAGAAATGCTGATTCTGAAGATGGTTACTTAGCCATCATCTTCCACTTTGCTTCCTTACCCTGAAACAAACCCTTTGTAGGTTTAACAAAGAATAAGCACTATGAAAGGGCTTAATATAAGAATTTGAAACACATCTTTTGTAAAACTTTTAAACTTAAAATTCTTTTGGCTTAAACATTAAAAAAAAAAAACCTAGACCCTGAGTTAGACTTAAGCAGCAGCTTTACAGAGCATACTTAGTATCCCTTACAGGGATACTTAGAAACTAATCTGTATTTAAAAACAGACAAGGTCTCTCAGTCTGGTCTTTGCAGAAACCGTATGAAAGCTGGGTCAAGGTTTGTTTGGAAAGTCTGTACATGTCAGCCAGAAGGACAGGCAACTTTCAAAACTTCATGACTCAAGCAGCTTTTCAAGTATGAAGAACCAAGTATGATTCTCCACTGTTGGATGATATCTCTTAAATTTCTGCACAAATTATTACTAAATCAGAACAGCCATGTTTTATTTTGCTGAAATGCCATTAGCACAACTAGAAGAGCACACGCAAACTGTAGTTCTTTCTGTGGCACACCAGAATGACAGTCAAGTTCCTGTATTAACTGGATGGCTTTTGGGGCTATCATACCGTAGGCAGTCTGTTGGTAGTACATGCAATTCATCAGAACTTTATGCAGGGATTTTGTAACTGATCTGTTGCCCTTAAACTGAAGGCCTCAGCTTTTTCCCTTCATTGAGAATAGATTATTATGAGAACTGTTGGGGCAGCACTCATCCTGCTCTTCCACAAGCTCTGGGGCATGACTCACTTGGCAATACTTCCATCTTCATAAAAACAATAGCTACTGTATCCTCAAAAAAAACCCAAACAAACCAACCAACAATCACACCTTTGTTCTGCACTGATAACCACACGTATTACTTATGTCTTTTGATCCAAGGCTTCTCTGAACACAAACTGTACTAGGGGGAAGCCCATGTTAAACCCAGTCAGCTAAGGCACTTTGGCATTGTCTTGCCGACTCCTGATTAAGAATTAACACGTCCATTGCTGATTTGTCATTATTCATGACAAATTTATAGGCAATTGTTTCCAGCTCCTTCGCTGAAGGAGCCTCCCCCTGCCCAAAGCAGGGCTGAGAGAATCTTGCTGGAGAGGGGCTGCAGGCTTATAACCTGGGGGTGACCAAGCCCCAGCTCCCTCCAGTCCCCTGCAGCCCCCTGCCCCACAGCCTGGGGTTGTCCCAGGCCCCCTGCCCTAACCCCAGGCTGCCTCCACTGCCACACAGCTCCACCCCTACAGCTTGAAATGCCATGGTAACCTTTCAAGATTTAAGCATTTGAAATGCCATAACCAACATTTAAAATAAGAAAACAAATCTGGTGCTCTCCACATCGCTGCTTCCTCCACTTGTGACTTTGCTTGGATTACTTCGTTACCGTGATAATTATGTATTTAAGTCCTATCCTGTAATAGTAGTGTAATATTTACAGTTTGTTTTCTCTACTACATAGAGAGCATTTAATCTAGGTTTTAAATAAGGAAACTTCAGGCTGCGCAATAAATGAACTGGAAGTCCAGAGGAACATTTTGCTACATCAGTTTTGTAGTTTATTTTCTCTTTATATAGTCCAAACATCACACATTCCAGCTACAAAATTAGCTGCAGAAAGTGAAAGTGTATTTTCAAACATTATACATTTTTAGTATCAGAATAAGCCACTTGGATGAATACAAATCAGCAACTAATCATTTATTGATACACATATTAACAAATGAATCAGATTAAGTTCTATTAATGGCATAGCACTGCTATTTTTGTTTTCACCTAATTCCAATTTGTACTGATAATAAAGAATCTCTATACAGCAGTGGTTCTGTCCTGGTCTTATTAGCCTCCCCCCAAACTGTAGATCTCAGAACAACCCACTCCCCCTCTAAGAAAACCTGCACCACCCCAAGAAGCAAGTACGGTCCCTAGAAAGATCTATTGTGCCAAGAAAGAGTAAGGCATCTGCTGCCTCATCCCAACTCACATCTGAGATCTGTACTGGGGGCAGTGGGAGAAGGGCTGGCAATGATTTAAAGTAAACTCAGGTAAACAAGGTCAGGCACTTCTACCTTAGGGCAACACCAAATTAGCCTGTATCATCTGGGCTGGAATACCCACAAATCAGATTTTGGGCTATGCAGTCAGTGCTGTGAGCAGGGACATAGAGACTGCTGGGAAGTGTACCCCTCTGTAAACTTAATCCCAGAGGAGTACCATATAGTTGTAACCTCATTATAATGGTAAAGGACCCTGCTGCTGCTGCGGACAGGATGAGACTGCTCTGGCTAAATGCCCTACCAAAGCACAGACTAATCCACAGTCATATTACTGCTTGCACGGGTCCACAGATGTACGCTCACCAGGTTCGAACTGTTTTGTTACTGAGAAACTCACCATGAGGACCATCAGCATCAGAAGGCAAAAGGGCCAAATAAACGGGGGTCTCAGCCCCTTCATCTGGGGATTTAGTGGCTTGAGGACCTGCCATGTCTGTTCTCACCCACCCAGGACAGCAGGCATTGAGAAGGATGTGGTCACCTTTTCTTTTCTCATTTAACATCCGGGCCTGAATCCTGGACAAGACTGTGACACCAATTTTGGATACCCCGTAGGCAGTATTTGGCCAGCCCTCTTTCTCATGCACACTTTTCTTGGTATCTTCCACAAATTTGTTCATGAGTTCCACTAACTCCTCCTCAGTGATCGTGTCGCTGCGAAACTTCTGCTGTAGTTCCTGGCTGCAGCCTCTCAGAGCTGAGCTACTTACCATACTAGAGACATTCACCACTCTACCTGGTAAAAGAGAATAAAGACTGATTACTTCTACACACATAAAACAAGCCCAGACACTAACGTGGGCTCAGTCTACAGTTATGTATTCACCACTTAAGTGAATGCCTGTGAAATATTTTGTGTGCACTATTTTGCAGAGCTTCTGGAAGACCACAGGTAAATCAACATCAGGTGTTTCTAGTAAATACCATTAGAGAGGGTAATTTAAGGTGTGAACCTGCAAGAGCTCTCTATTGAACTTCAGGTATTCTTCCAGGAAATAGCCACTTACTACTATGAATATGCCTACAGATGTAAGAGGCTCAGTAATAGCAGCCAGACTTTACTCTTGAAATTCACTTCGGCAACAGCTTGAGTCAAGTGCTGTGAGAAGGCACCTCAAAAATCAGAATACTACGGAATTCAACAAAAGCAATCTACATCTTAATGCAGTGAGACCATCAGCTTGTTTACAGAACACCTGAAGATTTACATCCCAGCATGCAAAACTGCAGTAGGTTATTTATCTCCCAGCACTTCAGTACAGAGGAATGAGTCAGCTGAATCAGTAATTCACTCCTCTTCCCTAAAATTATGTTACACTGCTTCCTTCCCTCTTGCTAGTTTATGGCCATTCAGCACATCAACAAGGGAACAAACATGAGGACTCTGATCTTAAAAGTTACAGAAATTAATCCTTTCCGCTAATGACTTTATCAGCACTTTTGTCCTTCACCCTTAGTAAAACAGGACTAAACTGCAATTTTGGCACCGTTTACTCTCTCCCCTACCAGCCTCCCAAAATTCAGTTACTACTAACAGTTCCAAACTTCTCTCTCATCTACTCCTTTTCTCTTAAAAACCTAGATGTATTCAAATGTTGGTGTAGACAGCATTTCATTCATAGCAGCAAGCACTTATGCAAATATCCATGAAAATATCTAGTGATCACAAGTTTCGAAGAGAACTGCATTTAAAAAAAAACCCTTAGATTTGGTGTGAGTATTAGATCCAAATACCCTCTGTTCAAATCATCCATGATATGCCAGTAGTGCTTCAGTAGCTTCCAGTGCTCCCTGGTTTTGAGAACGGGAACATTCTGAGCAGACCAATCACCCAGCGAGTGCAGGTTATTTGTGTGCTGCTAATACCTCTCTATTATTGACGCATCCATCTTCTTTGACACTGGCCCATTCTATTTACAATTTTTAGTAAAGTGTTTTCTTCAAGTTCCCCCCAACATCACCAAATCACAGTAACTTAATGTATCACATCAAACTCAGCTGAAACACTGGTTTTAGGTACTTCTTTATCCAAGTTTGTATCCTCAAAAGGTCCTTTCTGAAGCAATAACAATTTATGTAGGCAGATAACATGGACAAAATATGCATGGGTACATTCTTCATGTCTTCTCAAGAGCACCATGAGAATTCCACTTCAATCCATAATGGAAAAGAGTGACCGGCTTGAAAGCAGATATAAACATACCCACCAGAGACATTTTGGGGGTCAGGAAAGGCCATCTGTTCTCTTACCTACAGTACAGCAAGGTGCACTCCTCTTGCTATGGGACAGGGCACTTCTGACATGGGACAGGATTTTCCTATTTAACAAGGGCTAAAGTTCATACAAAACTAATTCTCTTCTTGTTATGTTACACTTACCATAAGGCTTCATAAGAGGCAACAATTCTGTGCAAACATTCCTGGTTCCAAAAAAGTTTGTCTTCAGTGTAACCTCAGCTTGGACTGCAAACGGAGTTGAGTCATGAACTTCTCATGCAAGGCGGCAGCAAGGGAGAGTGGGGGGGGAAAAAAACATAAAATCAGAATTGTACTACTGTTTGAAAGGAAGTTCAAGAACTACCAAAACACGAAAGTTTATCTTAGTTTCTTTTTTTCTTTTTTGATAATTAGGAAACAGGCATATGATCAATTAAAATACATTGAAATAAAAAAAACCATCACTGACACATTCTTATTAATGAAAAGATCCAGCTCTGCAATTTTATATTAATAATGACCTAATTATATTTTCACCTGTTCTTAGCTGAAGGCTTTGGCTTTGACCCAGGAGAGGTTGTATCACTCTGCAGAGTCATTTGCCAACCCACAGGCCGTTTTTCTTTCTGCCTTTTATATGGAGGAGACAAGGAAAGCCTGCTCTCACAGGGTGTGCTGCCCGGCCTGCCGACTGACCTCCCTGCACTTATTCACACCCAGTGCTCAGCTGGGGCTGCCACTGTGACAAGAAAGTAAACTTTGAGGTGCCCTCTCCTCTTAAATGCATAGCATGGCCCTTCAGCACCATTCTGACATACCAAGGGAGGGGAAGGGGAAGCTCCTGAATCTAGGATGCTGCCACTGAAGATGCAAAAGTTCGACTATGACCCCAATACTAACATCCAACAACGCGGCAGACAACTGCTTCTATACCCTGACTCTTAGGTTGCCATGCCTTGGGTTCTTAGCTGGTACTTGAAGCCAGAGCAGTGCCAAAGTGCAACAAACACTGTAAAAGCTTCTATAAAGAATGCAGGGCTGATTTGGTGGTCTGAAAAAAACCAACCAACCTATCCCAAAACTGATAAATACTTGTGTCAGTAAATCGTCCCCTGAATCAACAGATCTGTGCCAACACAAGGGAAGGAGGGGGAATTAGCAGCTAGGAAAGGCAGCTGATTTAGGTAAGCATAAGCAGACCATGGAACTGCTCTGTAAGGGCATGATTTCAGCAGACAGAACTGACAGCTTGCCACCACAAGTGGGGTAGGTATGTGCCATCAGCTGACAATTTGGCTCAGCCATAAAGCCATATGCTACACATCCTCCACTTTGAGGGGGAAGTAGAGTTGAAGTAACAGCATTTCTCCTCTTCTGCTACAGGCTCTGTCTCTGCAGTGATGAAGGCCACCTACATAGATTAGGCAGGTCTTCACTTGTCTCCATAGCTCAGACCTTTGTAAACTCAAAAGAGAAGCAGTGTCATTCAGTATTTGATGTAGTTGTGTTTTTATTGCAAAACAGAGCTTTAATAGCTAACTTATTTATACTCTCAAGCAATGGCCACTGATGACATCAAGTTTTGCAAATCACTTACTTGCATTTAAATCTGAGACACGAAGCCAGATCGTGACCTATTGCAAGAGTTATGACAGTGGGAGAAGAAACTAAACTAAAAACCTACACAACTCCAAACTCCCACTTCCCACCTTGCAAGACAGAAGCTTCCCCAAAGTCCAAAACCCACTCATTTGCCTAATAAGATATATTACTTGTGACATCTGATAGATCCACGCTCCTCTGATTTACTAAGCATTACTGGAATGACTGTTCTCGCAGAAGCTCATCCAGAAGGCAACCCACGGCTGCATAATCATTTCATACATGAATGGTTTTGCTGGACTATCTGTAGTGCAGCACAAAAACTGAACAATAAATTAAATTCAGTGGTAAATCTAATCTTTGACAGACAGCAATGATACACAGTACTACAATAAAGAAAGGAAAACATAAATCTGGGATGGTAGCAGAAACCTGGTGAGGCAAGAAGCAAGCTTGGGTAGAAACATCAATCTCACAAGCAAGAATTAAATCCAAACAATGATATAAGCATCGCAGCAAGTTCTTACACAGGTGTTAAATCCTCTATCCTCTGTGTTAAATACACAACAACAGCTACAACTGGCTCCTCTATCACATTTCTTAATCGTATGACCCACTGCTGACTCACAGTAAATTAGCAGCTTGAAGAAAATCTAGGCTAAACATCTGGAAGCAACTTCTAAATAATAATAATAAAATATCTATGGTGCAGTAAAGGATGCTAACAGGAACCTGACCGGTCACGCTGTTTTAGCTATTTATCTGGTCAGTGGCTCCATGATAATAAATCTAAGATCTCTCACAGATGAGCTCTAACAAATCTTGCTGCAGCAACTTGAGCTTCTCTTTCACCTGCCCACGTACCTACACTGATGGAGGCTACAGCTGCTGCAAAGTCACCACCAGGAAACACACTGCAATTGCTGTAGCTGCAGCCCAGTCTTGGGCTAACTCACTGTCACTAGTAGGCTGAGCTAAGGCCCTGCTTATAAATTGCAGAAATAATAGTTTGAACACCTGCAGGCTTTATAAATGATAAGCACGGGCAGAGACACAATCTTTTAACTCTGTTGCTACAAGGTTTTAACATTTATCTTGAGCACATCCTGAAGCTCAAACAATTATATTAAGAGCTGCCTCCTATTAAGCTAACCTTGAACATGAGCAATCTTCCCGTGAAGTACCATGTGAAATTGTATAACAGTGACTGGACTTCATTGCTGGACTCCCACTACACGAGAAGCTCCACCTTCAGCAGCAGGTGGAAGTTTGATCCATACTACCTGACAGGCCTCCTTAACTCGTGCAGTAGGCAGACGAGTCAGCACAACACCATGCTTGAACAGTTACATGTCCTAACTGGAGATCAGGCAGAGAACTTAAAATAAAACCGAAAAACCCCACCCTAAAATATGGAAAGAACAAGTTTGTACTGGTGGAGAAATGAACTTGTCATACTTGTGATTTGCTCTATCTGGACTTAACATGATTCTCAATTCGTTTTTATAAACACCTACAAAAAAAAAAAAAATGTATTCTTCTACCTTCTAGCTGCTGTGTCTTCCTCACTTTCCTTGCCTTCCTGTCCACTAGAAGATGGAAGGGTTAAGTTCTTGCTCAGCACAGCAAGATTGAGGTTAACTGTTCTATAGGTAACTGAACGGCCTGAGAAAGTTAAAGATAAACAAAGATGACAATCACCCAGGGCCAAAGGTTCTTTTTTATCAACTGGAATCCTTTAGCAGGTAATGGAACAAAGTATGGCGCTTGCTGAAGAGAGAAAACACAGATCCCCCAGGAACAAGGCTGATATTCACAGAGATAATGGGCTCCCGTGGGCCTGATGAAACTCACGGACACTGAGGCAATAAACCCAACTCTGCTCACATGCACTGTGTGCCTGAAGTATTTCCATGCTCTGTATGTGATGCAAATACAATACTCATGGGAAGCATGTTTACATGCACGGTTAGCCCAACAGATGCTAGAGGAAGCGCCATTTCACATTGCCCTCTCACCATGCTTAAGGCTGGTAGCTTGCCCAGCCCGAAAAGCAGCATGCCATTGGCACAGAAGACTTGCATAAGAAACTTTGTAAAATCCTCGATGCATCTACTGTCCTTCTCCATGTAACTTTGTAGAAGATAGGACTATCCCAGACAGTTCGCTTCCTACCTTTGAAAGCGATCCCTGCATTGTTAACCAGCACATTCAGCCCTCCATATTTCTCTTTTAGGAAGTCACGGAGAGCTCTGATGCTCTGCAGATCGTCGATATCCAGCTGGTGGAAGAGTGCATGCAGCCCTTCCTCCTGGAGCTTTGCCACTGCTTCCTGGCCACGGCTGGGGTCCCGGGCTGTCAGGTACACGTCCCCCGGGAACTGCTTGCACAGAGCCCGCACAATGGCGAAGCCGATGCCTTTGTTGGACCCGGTCACCACAGCCACCGGCACGCTGGACATTGTCCCCTCTGAACGTACGCCAAAGCGACACTATCTGCAAATGGCAAAGAAGAAGGTTTCACACTTGAATGGACAAAAATGGCTATGTGAAAATGGATTAAAGTGTTTTTTTCTTTAAAATCCTATTTACCATCTTGAATTAGGTGAAACTACATTAAAGTGCACACTGACTGTAACTTACTAAAGCAGCATGAGGCATTCACAGAGAAATACAAGTGCGGTGTTAACGTTCTGAAGAAAGCCCAACCAGTGACTGGGTAAAAAAAAAAACCCAAAACAAAACACCAAAAAAATACAAAAAGAAAGAAAGTCAATGACTAATCTTCAGTACTAAATTAACTTTTGACGGGAGTAAGCTCTTCTGGACATACAAGTTACAGGAATACCATTACCCTCTTTTGGGAATATTCAACTGGTTCAATCCAAGCACTGAGGCAGTTAAAGCCAAAAAAACAGGCTCAAAGGGGGAGGAGTGGCTTGATCTTCGAGTGTCAGGCAGAGAACCAAATCTAGCATTTTAAGAGGGAAATAGTGGACTACAGACACTTTCTGCTGTTTAACACACCAGTCAGCTCTAGATACAAAGCCTGCTTGTTGTTTTTTTCCACAGCTATAGCACATTTCAAGAAGATGCCTCTCCCCCATAAAAAGCGCGTTTATAACGCTGTTTTTGGTCACTTTTGACTTAGTTACCATTTCTCTTCCAAATTAGCTCGCAAGTAGCCACGAGCGGACAGACATCGAGCGACGGTGAAATCTTAACCAGCTCCTAAAAGCCTGTCCAGCTACGGACCGACTTCCCCGGGGCCAGCAGCCGCCCTCTCCCCGTCCACCTCCAAGGTCCCACCTCGCTGCAAACCGCCACATTCCACTCGCTGCCACCTCCTCGGGGCCGCTTGTTTCTTCCCCACAAGGAAAGAAGCCCCCAACGCCTCAGGGGACTCCCTGCTCCTCACGGGGCCATCCTGGCTGAATGCAGCCAGGAGCTGCGGGGTGGGCCCGGAGAGGCAGCCGGCACTCCCTCACCCACCTCCAGCACCGCGTACCTTCTCCCTTTCGCTCCTCAGCTCCACACGGCGACGAGGACGGGACCAACTGGCAGCCGGCCACGGCCGCTCACGCAGCGCAAGAGGCGGGCGGACGCGCCTAAGATGGCGGCGGGGGCGGCCCGCCTCCCGCCACGGGAAGGGGCGGTGCGGGCGGGCGGGGACCGGCGATGGCGGCGGGAAGCGGCGGTGTGTGCCTCCTCTCCGGCAGGTGTGCCGGCGGGTGGGCGGCTGTAAGGCGGCGGCGGGGGGTACCGTGCGAGCATCGCCATCTCTGCCCTCTCCCCCGCCGCCATTTCAGCCCGCGAGGGAATTGGGAGACAGAGCCGCTGAGGGGAGATAGCGCTTATCGTTACACTCCTCAGTCGTCTCTGCCTTAAACCGGGAGGGGCCACCGGCGGTCCCAGGCGGTTTCCTAACGCTCGGGTGGTTCTCTGTCAGGGCAGGGAGGTGGGGAGAGGCCTGGCTGTGCGGCCGGGGGGGCGCCGGGGCTGTGGCGAGTTATGGCCGTGCCGTGGCCAAGATGGTGTTTGGAGATGAAGGGCTTCCCCTCTTCCCTCACTCCCAGCACCCGCCCTCCTGGCGGGCTTTGCTCGTAGTGCCTTTTCTGAACTTTAAAGAGGCGGCTTATTAAACAGGCGGTGCGCAGGTTTCTGTTACTGATGTAAAAGAAACATGCAGTATTTGAAAGGGACTTTGTATTTTTAATTAACGTTTTTGTTTCTTTTAAAGTTCAGATTGTCTAATTAAGGCATAATCTGTTTCTGAATATGAAGAAAAGCAGAGGCCGGACGGGTCGAAAGAGAAGAAGAAAACGCTTGCAGAGTTTTGTGGATGGAGGTACTGCTGCTGGAAGTACTGCTAAATAATAAAAGAACCAGTTGTTTGTGAAGGTGTCATTTTGCGGTGTGCGTTTGTCAAACACCTTTATGCTTTGAAATAACATTCATAAGTGTTAGCTTTTTTTTTTTATGCAAGTATTCTAGCATTTGTTTACAGTCCCAAGCAGAGCATGGTGAATATTTACTGTGAGCTCTTTTCTGGCTAATGGGAAGTACTATAGAATCATCGAATCATCTGGGTCGGAAGGGACCTTCAAGGTTCATCTAGTCTGACCCCCCCGCAGTCAGCAGGGACACCCCCAACTAGACCAGGTTGCCCAGGGCCTCGTCGAGCCTTACCTTGAATATCTCCAGGGATGGGGCCTCAACCACCTCCCTTGGCAACCTGTTCCAGTGCTCCACCACCCTCATAGTAAAGAACTTATTTCTAATTCTTTAATTCTTTGACCCTTGAGTATTCTGGATAACTCCTGAAGTTGTGCTAGGTCCCAATTCCCAGAGGCCAGTAATTTACTAAGCTAGTTCAAGGGCAGCTACTGTACTAAAATGTCCAAAATCTGGTTTTTCTGACCATACAGTAAAATTTTTTAATTTCCTTTATTTTCCAATAGAGTGCTATTAATAGCATTAATCTCCCTTTTTTTTTTTTTTTTTGTTTTTTTTTTTTAGTCAACTGTAGTCACAAACTGGAATACATTAAACTTAAGAAGTGGCTGAAAAGCAGAGGATTTGAAGACAGTAATTTAAGGCCAGCACAGTTCTGGGGTAATGTTTTCATTATTTATTGAATATCCTTCTTTTATTCTTCTAAGAATGTTAGATTCCTGCTTTTGTTTGGAATCACAAACCTGGCTGGCATCAAGAAGAAAGCCAGTCACTGTGAGCAAATGCATGTGAACATCATTTAATGTAAACAAGTAGGTATGGAGTACTGTCAGCTGTTTCTTATATAAAGATGTTCTCATATATAACTCTGGTATGCTACAAAACATGCACACCTATGTCAAATTCCTTGTAGAAATCAAATCTTTAAGTGTTAATAGCGCAGTTTTAAAGAAGAAAGTAGTATCTCTTAAGGTTTTACAGTATTAGAACTAAACCTTATTTTAATTTCTTTCACTTTTTTTCTGTACAAGTTCAGCAGATCTAGTCATACGGAAAGGTAAATAATTTCAGAGCTAGAATTCACTTAGTACTGTTTACAGAAAAGGCATATACTTGTATTTTTTCTCTTTAAGTAGATTATGTTTCAAAAACTTTTGCAATGTCAAAGAGAGTAGTCTGAATCACAGAAAAGATATCATTAATAGGAATTGTAAAGTTTAGTTAAAACTTTGAAACCAAGAAGTGTTTAAATAAAAAATAGGGGAAAAGAAATTGAGTAATTGCTAAAACTGGACAGCAAGTGTTGCAGGGAATGCAGGGGAAGGGCTTTCACAGGGTCCTAAAAAGCAAAAAGAGAATCGGAGAACAAAGAAATGAGTTATCTATCTGGAACAATACACAATTGGCTTTTATGATTTGTAGGAGATAATGTATGTCCTTTTAGAGCTTTTCCTTGCTGGCCTGCTAATTTACTGCAGCTTATCATAGTCTCCGGTATTTTACACGTATAGATGTATTTAAGCATCCTTTTTGTTCCTGCTTCAGATACAGGAAGAGGACTGATGACAACTAAAGCTCTTCAGGTTAGTAATGTTGACTATAATGGGAGAGCTCCCCAGGTGCTTAGAGATGTCATGACTTTTGCAACAGGCAAAGCTCGAAATTCCGGGCAAGGTCTTCACAGTCCCTGTTGTGGATGTAATTTCTAACATAATACCAGCATTTGCAATATTGACATATCTGTAAGGTGATAGCCTATGTACCCTGACGACTTGTAGGGTGAAGACATTCCTGTCCTCATTTACAGAGATTTAGTATGTAATGTAGTGTTTCAGTGTAAGCCAATCAGTGGCTAACTGAAACCCTAAGAAGCAGATCTCTTCCCTCCTGTATGCCTTCTCCCTCAGCCCCTGACTCTTACAGCTTCTTTTGCACTGGCTGTAGCAGTCTTCCCCACTCGTGTGATAAGTTGTATTGAGAAGTTAAACTAACAGAAAACTGTCTTTTCAAAAAAATTACTAGTTTTGATAGCTTTGCTCCTTGAAATCTTCCACCTTGGTCAGGCCAGTGCTGGAAGAATGACATATCAGGAAGGGGGATTGAGGAAAGGAACCTTAAGTGGTGTTTGACTTTAGATTATCTTAGCCATAATGTGAAGCCATGGCTTTAACCTCGCTTTGATGGTCCTCTTCCTTGTTGGTAGACCAGCTAATAGAATAATAATTTCTATGATTCCCAGCAGAAAAGAGGAATGGTATTAAAAATACCTTACCCTTAAGATATTGACACAGAAAGACCGAACTTTTACTGAAAAGTGCCTTTCAGGAAATGGGCTTGTTGGAGAAGTTTCTGAACTGGTATGGGAATTGTATATCAAATAATGAAGAATCAGACCCAGAGTCTTTTGCAAAATAGAGAGTATAGCAAGAAGTAGGAAGGAGGTGTAGTGGAGATACACTGTTCTCCAGACATGGTATGTTCTTATGCTTGCTTGGGGTTAGAGCCAGCAGTTGAAGCCAGAGGTTCAGGTTATTTACAGTGCTGGGAGTCTGCAGTGAGTTAAGTGCCACCTAGATTTAGCTGGGCTTGACCAAGATAAGGAAACTCAGGAGAATTGGAAGGGGATGATTCATGTCCTTTCCATACAGGCATTGACACTTATGGCTCAAGCCAGGCATGAAACCTAATTTATACATGCAGCAGCTTGGCAAACAAGGTCAGCATAGACATGACCTAAATTAACCTTACCACATACTGCTATGTTGATAGAAGTTCAGGTATTTGTGAGATCTAATCTAAAATATGTCTCAGCACAAAGAGTAGCCAGACACCAGATTTTCTGTGAACAGCTAACTTTCTGCAGGTTACAGTTCCTACTGACTGCAGTTATCCTCCTTCCCTGGACTGTGACTGTCTTGAAACCATGCCAGTTTTCATCAAGTTCAACATCTCATCTGTTTGCTTTCTGACGTTAGTGTTCTCTGAGGAATGTCTCTCTGTTCAGAAATCACACAGTAGATGAGTCATTTACACTTGACCTTTACTATTCTTTGTGTGTGTTGTGTTTTTGTTTTTTTTTTTTTCTTCCTCAAAGGCAGGGGATCTGGTTATTTCATTGCCTGAGAAATGCATACTCACCACGGGCACTGTCCTTAGTAGTGGCTTGGGAGAATACATTATGAGGTAAGTGAAAAAAGACAGTTTATGGGCAAGCTGGCCTTTCCTCTGGGTTGCTCGTTAGTAGATTAATCATCTTAAGTGGTATTAGGGCTTTAAACTGAATACTCTAACGTGTATGACTGTTTTTTATGGACTTTGATGCATGTGGAATGCTCAGATAAGTAAGGCTTGGACACAGCATCCCCTTTTAGCTGGGAAGAACTGGAGGGATGGTACAGGCTTGGACTTGACCTGCCTCCAGTTTGCACCTGGATGCCAGTGAGGAATGTTTTCTTGGGAATTTGTGGATATGCTTTAATAGGAGAGGGGGGATAAAATGGGGTTGCAAAGCAGGCATGTGAACATAGCCTTTTAGAAAATTCAGAACAAAGACCTATGTTGTACTTGTTATATATCCTAACCCCTTCTCCCCCACGCCCCAAAACAAAGCCAAAAAGCAACCCAAGAGGTGAGCCAGCTTTTTATAGCCCCTTTGAAATCATCAAAAGGACTTGGAGATGAACTACAAAGAAGTTTAAAAGAGAAGCTATTTATAACATTTAAAAGAGCTAGAAGAGAGAGAAAATACTGCTGCATCCATTTCCTATCTCACCTCTGTGTATCTGTTGTGTTGATATTTTTATTTTCTAATAGATGGAAGCCTCCTGTATCTCCTTTGATAGCACTGTGCACATTTTTAATAGCAGAGAAGCATGCTGGTGAGAAATCTCTGTGGAAACCATATCTTGATGTTTTACCCAAGACGTACACTTGCCCTGTTTGTTTGGAGCATGATGTAGTGAGCCTTCTTCCTGAACCTTTAAGAAAGAAGGCTCAGGAGCAGAGAACGCTGGTCCATGAGTTGTACATGTCTTCCAAAGCTTTTTTCTCTTCCCTGCAGCCTTTGTTTGCTGAGAACACAGAAACTGTTTTTAACTACAGTGCTCTACAGTGGGCTTGGTGCACTGTTAACACCAGGACAATATACATGAAACATTCACAGAGGGAATGTTTTTCTCTTGAGCCAGATGTTTATGCATTGGC